GCCCCGTCTCTTTCTCGGCCGCTCATGCCCTCTCTTTCTGTCGCCGCGTAGGCTTTTGGAAGTGTGTGTGTGTATGAGCAAAACAAACCATAAATGTGCGTGGAAGGCGAAAGACGAAAAAGAAACGAGAGAATCCAAGTTTTTGTCAAAGGGTCGTGGCACCCCCCTCAGTCCCCTTAACCCCCTCACCCCCTCCTCCCCCTTAACCTCCTAATGGCCATAAGTCAATGTCAATGGCACGCACACACAGACACACTTTACTTTGGGGACAGTCGAAAAAAGTGGTCGTGTTGACTTTTCTGGGCTGATTTTCCACGTTTAATAGGACCTTGACATGCCAAGTTTGCCAGAAAATTTGTTATTTGGTGTTTATGGCGGCGTTTAAACGGTATGGTCCCATTCACTTTAGATCTGCAAAGAGATGAAATAGATGGAGATACTTGAAACTGGTTTGCAACTGCAGGCTGTCACTCACTCACACAGATACTCACCCATACAAGTGCAGCGATAAAAGAGATACAAAATGCAAACCAGTTCCGCGATAAACAAAATCAAAACTAGAACTTCATTTCGCAAGCCAAATAAAATGAATAATAAAATAAACACTGGTCACACAGATTTAGCACTATTTTTCAATGGATTCACTCGGGAAGTTGCAGTTTTATTTTTAGCTGATGGCTTTTTTGCGGTTGTTTGCTTTCCAACGTTTTGCGTTCATTTGAAGCCGTTGCCCGACGATTTCTTGCACGCCGCTCGGTCTCTCGAGCGGCGGCAGCGACGTCGACTGCGACGCCGGCAGCGCGGCCCCTGTATCTGTGCGTATCTCACAGATATCGCAGCCCCAGTACGGCGGCGTATCTGTGTGAGCAGTATCTGTGAGGGGCTCTAGTGAGTGTGTGTGTGCGACTGTGCCGTTCGTGCGCAACTCACACGCACGTGCTTCGAAATTTCCCTGGGGCACTCACTCACACAGCCAGAATTCTAACCTCTTTGGTACTTTTTGGCCAAGCCAGTTAAGACTTACTGAATCGAAATCGGGAAATTTCGAAATACAAAATATCCCCACCACGTGCTCTCCTTTGTTTTGCTTTTGTGCTTTTCACGCTGCAAAAAAAAGCTCGTCGGCCCAGCAGCTGCTCCAGCTTTTTGTTGTTGCCCGCCGGGGAGGGAAGTACATAGCCCCGCCCACTTTTCCGAGCGGGTATCCAATCCATTTATGAGCCTCCTTCGCTGTTGTTGCAATTAACGACCATTTGAATTATATTTGCGCTCGTAAAGTTTACAAGAACTCTCCGTCGGCCTGCCCCCCGAAAAAATATAAGAAGAAATAGCAACGCGGCCTTTCCTCATTTTCCCATTCATTTCGAACGTAGACAGCAGAAATTTTTACGACTTTTCTGCACAATGCGCAAATACAACGACAATGGACCAGTCGACCCGTTTCCCCCCACCCAAGCATTGCCCCTTCACCTTCGCCTTCCTCTTTGACTCCGGATTTCAACTGGGCCTTTGGATTTTATTGTGGGCTTTCTCATTTCATAAATCGTTTGTTGATAACACATTTTTGCACTCGACTTATATTAAAAATTCTCGACAATAGTTTGAAGGCCTTTTATGAGATCAGCCCAACAAGAATTTGTGTGAGGTTGATTTTTTTCTATCTTTATAATAAATAGAATAGTTTGCTTGCTGTTATTGAACATTTATTCGTATAGCAATGTAAAGTACTTGGCATTGACGATTTAAAAAGTCAATTTACCGCATAAATAAGAAATACAGCATAATACTTATTGTATTTGAATGGCTATTCCTTACAGTTACAAATTTTACTGACAAGCTGATGGGTCTCAAAAATATTATTTAATGATTTTTATAAAAAAAATTAATCTCTTCTGCGGTTAATGAAATAAATTATGGGGTTTCCGTTTTTGTTCTTCACATAGCTGTTCAACTGATAAACATATTTTATCCACAGGTTGTCAAGAAGAAAAAAGGTTAATTATAAAGATTTTTAAATGGTTAAATTTTTTGCGGAGGCTTTCAATTTTCAATTTTTTATTGGTAAAATATTAGTGTTTAAAACCTTTACTATTGGTGCACGATCTATAAAAATTGGACTTGATTTCATGAATTTAAAATACGCTTTAAATACGTTCATCTCGTTGTCTTCAAATACTATCATATCAACCATACCGCAAACTTATTGCAGAACTATTTGTTTGGCATTCTGTGGAACTGCAATATGGAATTTTCAGATAATTGCTGCCTTGGTATGGGTGCTCGCTGTTCACCCCTCGGTAGATAATTAACAACCCTTAGCTGCGAGTTTCCCTTTGCACCCTTACCTCACTATCTGTGTGTCTGTGTGTGTGCATCGATGCGCTTACCCCTAATTGCAATGCCATAAAAAAGTGCAATTCAAGCGAAGGACAACCACCGAAGCAGAAATGCGAGAGGTGAGCAGAGGAAGGCTCTTGGCATTTTGCCATTACATTGCAACCATGATTACGATTAGAACGGGCATTGTCTTGCCACCAGCCAGCAGGACGAAGGACTCGGTGCTCTAGACTAGGGTCTCGGGGCTCTGAGGACCCACAACTCAGAACTCAGAACTCAGAGCGCAGAACTATCAGCAGCAGCAACGAGTGGTGTTTCAGGGGGTTGGGGAGGGATCAAATTATGCGAAACTGCATTTTCACTTTTCGCATCGCCAAGCCCGGGCCATTTGCACCATACGGCCAACTGACGAAGATGGCCATGCTGCAGCTGCTGCTGGTCTCGGTTCTTGGCTGTAAGTGTCCTGGCTGGCAAAAAGCATCCTTTTCTGCATGCAAATTCCCTCGTCTTTGTATATCGAAAATCTCGAGAAGTGCAGCCAATCAACTGGAAATTGCCAAGCTTCGAGTTAAGTGCGCTGCCAGCTCCCCAGGCATTAGAATTGATAACAAATACGGCAGCAGCAACATCAGACGCATCTGCAGCAGCAACATCTATAAAAGCCGACATGGCTGCAACAACAGCAAAGTAAAAACAAAAAAACAATAAAGGGTTAAAATAATTCAGCAACATATGACTTACAGCAACAATTTTAAACGAATCAGAAACATATTTAGATGGGTTAACGAATGCGTTAACGAAAACACAAAAGCTTTACAATTAAATAAAAAATAAATAACCTAATATCTTGCACCTTTAACGATAAGCTCGAATGCAACATCTGATCTGGCAGCAATATTAAACTAAGAATCAACAATTTTAACAAGATCGGCAACTAATTTTTATATTTTAGCATTAGGAAAGAATAGCAGCTCCATTCTTGTCAAAAAACAAATCAAAGTTAGCATAGCTCAGACAGAAACTTAAAATACACAATAGACAACAATGTCAGGAGCAACATTACATTAACCAAAAACAACAATACACAAAACGCAGCAGCAATATCTCCAAAAACTCTATCCAAGTTTACAACAAAAGGCAAGACAGCAACAAGAGCAATGTGAGCTACAACAGCAACATCAATTGATGTTTGAACTGCAGCCAGATAAGCTACATCAGCAACAACTTAACTTAGATCAGCAACAAAAGACACTTCAGCAACAACAGACAATTTAAAAACGGCAGCCACAGCAGCAACAACAATAGTAACAGCAGCAGCCACACCAGCAACAACATCAGTTACAACAGCAACAGCAGCAGCCACACCAGCAACATCAAGACCCGACAGCAACATCAGCAATCGCGACGGCAAACGCGGGCGTTAAGCGGTGCGAGCGGACCGCCGCCGCCCGACTGTCGGCGGTGTTTTGGAGCTAGTGCTTTTGGGGGCGCATGGGCGTGGCACTGGGGAGCAGCATAGTGTGCACCCTGTTGCGCACACGTCCGCGGGATCTCTCTGATCTGCTCGCACGCCGGCCAGGCTGCTCTGAGTGGAAGCGAGAGGAGGCGAGAGCGGCCATTTTGGTGGGAGCGAGACGGCCAGCGGCGCAGCGCAGGCGTCGGCAGAGACGGCAACGCCAGCAGCGACTGCAACGTCTGCCGCTGCTGCTGCCACTGCTGCCTTTGCTGAGCGGTCAGCGTTGGAGACTTTTTCGCGGGATGTGTGTGCCGGAATCTTGGGGCTCCAGAGAAAACCACAGAAAAAAATGGAAAAGAAAAAACTGCGAGCGGTCGCCGGGGAGAACTCGTTCCGCCGTTGAGCGAAAACGCTTCGAGTGAAACTCGCACTGCGGTCCCCGGGGAAAAGCCGCTCCAAAAACCCGCAACACACTGCCGGAATTGATTTTCCAAACTCGACATCATCGCTTTTTGTTATTAAAGTGGAAAAAACGAATTTCAACTGGGGACTTGTCGTTGGGCACACCTGACGACCTGGCAAATGGCAGCTGGTTGGCTCAAATTGGGTTCAATTAGTTGCCACCAAATGGCAATCTTGTTCGGGCGGAAAGCCAGAAAGTCTCATTTGAAAATCACAAAATTTAAATTATTTCAGGGCAGCCTTCCTTTAAGCGGAACGTAGTGTAAATTATTAATTGCGGGCTATTCGAAAAAGTAATTGGGAAATTTACAGCTTTTGGAATATATTTGGAGGTCAAATTATTTATTACAAACTATTTTAATGTGCTTGTTAATTAAAGAAATGGGGTGTACTTGAGCGGTTAAATATTTATTTCTTTATACGAAACCCGTGTACTTGAGCGGTTAAATATTTATTTCTTTATACGAAACCCGTATTTCATATAAAAATTTGTGAATGTACATCATTGAGTAAAGTATTAATATTTCTATGTTATTTTAATTAAAAAGTTAATCTCTAAAACGAGATTTGAGTCAAAGACTTTAAATAAATGCATAAATTCAAAATATTTTAAACCATTTTATTACCGCTAGTGGGTGTTTTTTCCAATTAATAATTTAACAAATATTAACCAAATCTGAAAACCAATTATGTGTGTTTAAAAACCGACTGACTTAACTATGCCCCCTCTCTCTTCTCGTTCCAGGTCTGCGTCTTCGCGTGTGTTTGTGTGTTTTTATAACATTTGTGGATTACGCCTATAAAAACTACACCTCACCGCGGAGCCAGCGGAGGGCACCAGCTACAACAAAGGGTTGGTATACGAATTTAAATACTTGCCTTTTACTGCCATTTGATATTAATTCGAATTCGAGCGGAGCCGGAGATTAAATCAAAGATGCATAAATCAGGCAGCATTTTAAATAAATTCGCTTAATGGCTCGCCCAGCCACCGAAGTCGTAAAGTCTTTTGTCTAAACGAAGAACCCAAATCCGAAGACCTAATTGCATAATGATTTAATCCCAACCCACGGCTCCGGTGCATGAATCGATCATAATTCCGCTCGGACAATCCATTAAAATTTCTCGCATAATCGGTTTAAAAAGCCATTAACATGGTCATAATTCTGAGCCGTCGGGATTTCATCCAAATGCTCGAAACTCGAGTGCGCGAGTTCGGTTTTCAAGCTCAGCTTCGGCGGCCATTAAATGGGAATTCTTCACAAAAGTATGCATAAAACTTTACGAGGCAGGCCTTTGTTTTCGCTTTTGTTGGTCCCGATTTTATGATTTAATTTGGCAACTGCTCGGCGAATGGCTTCAAAATGGTCACTCGAAAGCGATGGTGACCGTATAAATATGATTTCCAGTGACCGCTGCTGCACTGCCGCCCAGAAATTGCACGATTTGTGCAGTTTTCATTGCGATTCGATTATGGATGAGGCCGTAAAGTGTATTCGTTATTGCCATTAGTCGCTCGTAAATTGGCTAACGAATGTGTCGTCTCGACCCCGGTCGAAAAGCACCCTTCCCCACCTTCCCACACCTTGCCAGCCCACATTGCCGCCAAAAGTTGCAGAGTTCAGACCCCTCGATTGGCGGAGCCTTCGCTCGAATATCCGCCAGAATCCGCATCCAAGAAGATACTGACAAAGACGTTATTCCAGTTTTTAATCTGCTCAATTGGTCGGCGGCGGGGGGCGGGCAGGGAGATTCCGACATCGCCATCGGATTGCGAAGGCGAAGTAATTAATATATTGCATTAAATGCTCGTAATCACGCATTTTTATTGGGGATCTCAAGACACACAAGAACAACAACAGCCAGAAATGTCCGCATGGCATTAGGGCGATGCACTTCAAATGAATATGAACAAGAGAGAACGCTATAGTCGGGTGCCCCGACTATCAGATACCCGTTACTCAGGTAAAGGGAGTGCGAGGGAGATGGAGATAGAAACTTTGATCACGCATAACTTTTTAACGAATGGTCCGATTTGAAAAATTTATTCTACATTTCGATAGGTATTGATAAACACAATAAAACTGCATTTTTACTTTTCCGAAATATTTAAATTTTTAAAATCGTATATAAGCGATTGTGGGCGTTAAAGGGGGCGTGGCACCATTTTGAAACAAACTTGCGCTGCGTAGGAACTCCTAGAATCTGCATGCAAAATGCCAATCTTCTAGCTTTTATAGTTTCCGAGATCTCAGCGTTCATACGGACAGACAGACGGACAGACAGACGGACAGACGGACAGACGGACAGACAGACGGACAGACGGACATGGCTAGATCGACTCGGCTAGTGATCCTGAACAAGAATATATATACTTTATAGGGTCGGAAACGCTTCCTTCTAGCTGTTACATACTTTTGCACGAATACAATATACCCTTTTACTCTACGAGTAACGGGTATAAAAATGTTGGGTAACCAATTTATTCAAAATATCGATATCTATTTGCTTATGTTAATTTTAAAAATCAAGAACACCCAGCTCGTAAAAAGGTACATTTTAAAACTATATTTTTTATTATATTAGAAAAGTTTTAAAAAAGTAAATGCAAATATATAAAATAAAGTTTGAATGTTTTACAATACAATCATTTATACGTCATTTTATTTTACATGCTGGTATTTGAGTTGAAAATAGCTGCACGTTTTTAAGTAATTTTAACTTAATGTATTAATAATAAGACTTCAATTTAAAAAACAGTTTTTTAAAAATGATCCCCAAATTCTTTTGCCGAGTGACCCTACCGCCCACTGATTAACTCCATGCATAAGCCGTACTTGCGTCATGTAAGCCAGGCTAAAAGCACTCTGAAAGCTTGTAATCCGACCGATAAGCGTTCAAAATATTAAATAAATTATAAATGTGTATAATCGAACACTAAAAGCATTTGGGCCAATTAAATATTTTTGGATGACAGGTGCGGTTAACAACGTGCCACCCAAAGGCAATACATTATATTTTTTATCAGTGTCGTATACAATACAGGGGCTATTCCTATACTTGCTATATATATATTTCGATTTGAAGTCAGTCTGATAATGACTGGAAATCGCCTCCACAAATTGTCATCTGCAATGGACGCTTATCGTTAAATGTACATAATGTGCTTTATTGTCACTTAAGTACAGATTTAAATAATTTTATGACTTCATTTCATTTGTGGACGATCGCAGTGTCGGCGATCGTTGTCGCTGGCAGGTCTATTTAACATCAGTACCGAGAAAAGCACAAAAACACCCATCTATATAAATAATAATCGCTCATTATAAGTAATCGATGACATTTTCACCCGCATATGAGCTCATTACGCTCCGTAATTACAGTAGTATTATTTACTGCAAAGACGACGAGAATAATCATGCTGATAATGGAGCCTCTTGATGAAAGATCAGCAAGAAATTATGATTCTTGAGTTATTTATTCCAAAAAGACCAGACGTACGCAAAATATAATGTATTGCTGCATAATTGTCGAAAAATTTGAACTCAGACAACTGAATGGTTCATTATATCTTTCAAGATTAGATTTATTTTAAAAGTCTACTAAAACTAGTCACAATATTATACATGTTTATTATAATCATCAAAATTTTGAAACAAGCGTTCTAAAGTTTTTACTGAACAACAAAGCCCAACCCATTTTATAAGATATTCATCTGATTCATCCCAAATTTCTTTTTGAAAACACCTTACACTAAATGACCTGTCTGTAATAAAGTGTAGATGCCTACTTTAAAATAATTAAACCACTTCACTATGCTTCATCAGAGCGAATAAACTAATTCTCCCTTGGGTGTTTTGTTTAGTTTTCCCTCTCAAAAGAGGAAAACTCAAAGAACTAATTTGCGTTAATTGCCCTTCACAGCGCCAGTACACAATGGAGCTTCAAGTGGTAATTGCAGGCATTTCCATTACAAAAGCATAACAGTATCAATATTCCAGACATTTGCATAAATTGTCCCCCCAAAAGCCCCCTGATCGCTGGAATGTCGGGCAAGTCAAATAAATTTGCTCACCGAACGCATACTTGACTAGAAAATCGTTAGTCGAAGTGCGACAGAAATGGACAGTTAAATAAATCGAGAGATGTCAGCGAGACAAGAACCAAACGAACTTGGAACCAAAACATGGTCAGGGACTTGGATTTGAATAAAAACTTGGACGCAGACATGCACTCCCATACACAGAAAAAAAATGGAATGCATACAATTTTTGAATCGAAGTCACTGAGATAATTATAAATTTTAAAGTTTTCAAATCGCTAGATACCCATACTGATATGGCAAAATTTCTTAACATTTTGTTATAATAATTTTACAAATTAAGCGAATAAATAATATTTATTATTCTTCCCTTTTGGGATATTCTTCCTAAGAAATTTTACATTTCATGTGTGATCTTTAATTAATATTTATTAGATTATGTATGTGTTCAAAATATCATTAATATATTTGTAAAAATAAACAAATACTTATTATGCTTTTAAAAAGTTTCCTAAGAAAGTAATATTATCATGATCAACATTTTGTACATGGCTAGAATTAATTCTGGATTTCTTGTATGCAATTTCGGTTTGAAATAACTTTCTTCTCAGTGCAGTAGCATTGTAGCATTTTCGAGTTTCAAGTTTGATATGCAGAACAGTCACTCGCGTGACAGTCAAACCGCGAAGTGGATTGCGGTGCAGGGTGAAGTGGTTGGGTGGTGCAGGGTGGTTGCGGTGGGTGGTGCGGGACGAAGGCGTGGGCGAGTTAGTTTGTTGGCATTTCGCACGCATCCTTCATAAATTAGCGAGATTTATGCGCCAGGGACTTAGATTCGCTAGAAAAGCGACTTGAAATTGCGGCGGGGACATGGATATGATGTGGAATCGATACTAAATTATCCTCTTTGGCGACGAACTTCCTTCTATTTTTCCTTAAACTCCCCATCTCTTTTTCCCGCCGGAGACACACCCAGAAAATGCCGTCTCTCTCTGCGCTCGGCCATCTCTCTCGCACGCTCATTATGCGCACTCGTTTTCGGAGTCGAAAAATCGATGGAATATGCAAAATATTGTGGAGCCGGGATCCGCCTAAGTCAACAGGGAGATTCGGCTAACCCCCAATCCATTCCAGAAACTCTTTCGGAATGGAATGTAAATTTGAACAGCGTTTCCTTTGTTTTCTCTGGCGCAAAAGGGCCACCGAGCTGCTGGCTTTCTGGGCTTGTTATTCTAAAATGCTTTTCGCTCTGCGTATCTGCGGCCCCAAGTGTTGCCCAATGTAATCCGGCTGGTATCTGTATCCCACAGATACGAACGCGCAGACCACTCAGTCTCGAGACTGGGTTTCAATTTCGGGTTTTTCAATCGGGCCTCTAATGCCCAAGGTGGTCAAAGTTGTCCATTTTCAGATTTTAATCGCTGGAATTTGTTTTAAGGCATCGAAATTTATGTGACAGCCCAAATTTTGAGTGTGACACTTTAGAAACGTTTTTATGGTTTATTAAAAAATATCCGTTTGATACCCAATCCCGCAGCTCGTTTCGAATGCAAAGCGAAAACTAGTTTTTAATCAAAATCTAATTCGCTGTCTCCCAGGGAACAGAGATGGGGTATATACGAGGAGGTACGAGGATGGGAGGGGATTTGGCAATGCAGCGGGCCAAGTGGAACTGCACTTGAGTCCCTTTTAGGCCGAAACTGGGGGAAATCGATCGAAAACCATAAAACAAAATGTTTATATTTCGAGAAGTCAAAAGTCAAATGGGAAACGTAAAGATCAACAGACCGAAATCTGCCATTGGTGGGCTG